AAAAAAACTTAAGAGATCATGTTCCTTATCTTAATCCCTGTGGGCAAATTAAGATATATGACCTAAAGTTTACATCATAAAATTAAGCTTCATGATAGAGGTGAATCTTTATTCCTATCATCACTGATAAACCTACTAAACTACATTCCGATACATAATTGCCTGTGGGCTAAATTATGATCATAGTTCAGTATTTCATCCTAATTAATCATACAAATATAACGAAATTGCCTGTGGGCTAAATTCCATCATATTACATACAATTAACCACAATTGATATGTCTAAAACTTTATGTGACCCTTAACATCTCAATATATAATTTTAACTGATTAAGGATGTTGTGGCTACTCCCTAACTAATTAAAATTATAAGATCACTAGACATTTATCATTGCCTATCTTTATGTGATTTGAACTTTGACAATTTTTAGTAAATTAAAGATGCTGTGGCTATTTCTATAAAAAAAAAAAAGATGTTGTGGCTACTCTTTAGTTAATCTAGAAATTGTTATCACTTGGCAAAAGGAGAATTTAAAGCCTAACAAACTAATTAAACCAACACATGATAGACAATTATTAGGTATACTCCCAGGAAAGTTGGTCGAGACGAAGCTCGGTTAAATACCAACTCCTTAGACAGAGTAGCGTCGCAAGGGGACTAGTAACAACAAGGCTTTTAAGCCAGGGCCATAGAACTAGTATTCCTCCCCAAGAAACTTCCCTTATTCTCATGTTTGAAGTAAAATCGTTTAAGAGATCTATAAGATTGTAGATTCACCTATGGATAAGGCTTTAAATTGATGAACTAAATTGACGGATTAAACGTGCGTAAATTCAGGCACTACCACAACTAAAGTTTTATGCATAGGTCCAACTTAATAAGGAACTAATATAATTCCATCCTAAAGTATGCATTTCTAAAGGCATAATAAAATTGCATAACTTAAAAAAAAAAAAAAAAAAAAAAAAAAAAAAAAAAAAAACAGAATATTATGTGATGGACAAGTATGCATGAAATCAAACATTAAACTCATATATTCTAAATAAATTGCATAAATAAAAACAATTTTAATATGAGCAATAACCTCAAGTATACAATTAATATTCAAACTAGACTTCTAACCAAAAGAAATCCAAAATTTTGAATAATAATGTAATAGATATATACTTTGAAAGGTTAAAAAACTATAAGCCCACGTGGAAAAGTTTTAATTGCATAAAATCAAATTTGTGAGAAACAGGCTGAATTCACAAATATCAAGCCATAGTATATGTTTATTCGTAAATAAAAATCTCACAAATTCTAATGGCATAATTAAACTTAATATTATGCACTTAATGTGATTGAATGCATAAAACAATTTAAAGAGTATGAAAAACACCAAATGTGTATTCAATTATTCATACTTAACTAAATGTGGGCAATGACATCTAAAATCATAATTCAAATGCTAAATAAATTATGTGATAGATGTACAATAATGACAATAGTCATTTGCCTAGAAAATATGTTTTTCCAAAATTCTGAATTGATTAAAAAAAATCACTCTCCAAAACTCAATTAATAGTATTATTAATGGCATAAAATTGCAAATAAACCAAAAAACAATAAATAGTCATAATAATATTATTATGCTAATTTGGAGACTAAATATGGAAGACAATAGTTAAAACTGTTAACCTTTAAAACATTTTTTGGATATAACTTTAAAATGTAATAAAACTTAAGTCCGAAAATAAATGTCACATAAATCAATTTGGAAACAATTCATGACTTAATACCATAAAAATAATGTTATCATTAATTAAAATACTAATAGTAATAAGGAGCATTATAATCACTATGAACATTTTAATAATGACAAACATGGTAATACATATCTTAATGTTTTTATATTCTTAAGGATAAAATGTGACTAGTTCAAAATGGTTAACAGCTATAACAGTAGTTACCAATAATAATAAACTGCAATTAATGATTTGCGTACCTTAATTATGCAAATTGCATCTATCGATAGCACTAACAGCGATAGCGAAGAAAGCCTCCAAAATCTCTCATCTTTACGGAGAGTTTAGTTGAATCGCCCAATGGTACGTAACAGTTTATTGGTAACACTTAATTACCATTATTAATAATAATGAAAAATGAAGTGACATGGGTAATCTTACCAATGTACCAAATATAGTAGATTAACATGAATGAATAATTATTATGAAAGGTAATACATGAGATTAGCCCCTAAACTTACTAACAGTAATTAATAATGCAAATTAATGATAATTGCAATTAAATGTAAAACTGTAATTAAGGGATGCTAAATACTAATCTCAATTTACCACATAATAATTAATCAAGACCGTAATGAGTCCATAAGGAAACTGAAATTAAGGTATAACCAAATTACCATTCGAAATGCAATATATCAACTATGTACATTGCTTGCCATGAAAAAATACTTAAGATTATCGTTAAGGCCCTAAAAACTGTTAATAGATTAAAACATAATCAACTTAAATAATAGTTATAATTCTTAATGGCCAAAACAATAATTTTATTTCTTAATGACTTCAAATGGTAAATGTAATCCTTTAAACCCTTAATGACTAAAAATCACGCAATAATAATAATTATAGCACTTAATTGCTTAAGTCGGGACCATGAACCTTTATGGCCCAAGTTAATTATAACATCAATGATAAATGTGTTATAATCAAATAAAAGTGTTACAATTATTATTAAAATATCAATCAAAGAAAGTGGAATCCATACTTTAATGACCTAGATAGGTCCTAAATAGCTTATTCCAATTTGGTTTTAAAGTCCCAGTGAAAAATAGGACTAAAGTATGCTCAAAATTAAATGAGAAACCAACAAGCTGACTTAATAGGCTATATTATTCAAAATTAGCCTAAGGATCCAAAATTGAATGATATGTAATATGAATGCTATGAATTAATAATATGCTATATCCAATCTTAATATATGCTTTTCTAAATGTACAATTATAATAAAATAATTTATGAATATACAAAGCATGTTTGGATTTTGCATATTAATATATTATTAACTCATAAATCCAAAATAAATTGCAGTAATTCAGGCAATTTAATATGCACATCAATATTAAATTAAAATTCAAACAGTAAATTCAATACTTAATATTTGCTCAAAAATGAATAATAATTATTTAATTGTGACAAGAATTACTATAATAACAATAATTCAATCACAAATAATGTCACAATTAATCTGAACTCAAATTTGAAAATTTTAATGCCAAAATTAAAGAATAACTAAATGGCATTATTATTTCAAAATTAAGCAATTACTAATATTTACCATTTGTCAAAATATACAATATTAATTGAGGTCAAATTAATATGATAATATTAATCCTAATATATTACCATGCCAAAATTAATATGTATAAAACTAAATAAGGCAAATAAAATAAAATTGCTACTTAAATAGAGGCGTACCGTAACACTCCTTGTCTTCCTCCCTGAATCGTCGGAAACCAGCGAAGAAGCAGCGAAGAGCAATTTCGGAAGACGCCGCAACTCTGTTCCGTCGATCACGCTCGGAAGACACCGCCCGAAGCTTGAGGAGCAGCGTTCGGAACCAGCGTCACTGAAGGAGAGAAAACAGAGATGACCAGAAAACCAGCTCCACCGCCGATAAAGCATGGAAGGAGCGACAGCGTGCTCTCCGGAGGGGCAGCGACGAGCCGCGATCGAGCCGTCCGTCTTCTTCCAACAGCGCACCATCCAGCGTTCCAATGTAGCCGGAAAACCAGCGTCACCGTCGACAGCCACGCCGTCGCCCACGTAAAGCTCACCACCGTTGCGCATGGCAACCGGCGACCGGAGAGAATCCTCCATCCCTCTGATGCAGCGCCGACTGGAGAAAAGAGACACCACCCGCGTCCAGCATCGCCTGAAGGAGGGGAGGGGCAGCAACTTCGCCGGAAACCGAGCCCGGCACCGCCATCTCTCCTCGCCGCGACATGTCGACAACCGCCCCCGTCGCCGGCCACTTTGAACACTGAAACAGAAAACTAATTGTCATTGCCTAGAAAATGAAGCACAGGCAAGTTGCATTTGAAACCAGTGCGTAGGTTTCCATTCTTCTTGGCCAAAACAAAATAGGCAGTGGTTAGTCTAAAAAGACTCATGATATAATTAATTTCATAATTCAAAGGAAATTTAAAAAAAAAACATGCTTAAAGCTCAAAATTAAATTCCAAGCAGAACCAAATTTCGAAAAACAACATATACAAAATTAATGTATATGATATTAGTTTTTGAAAAAAAATAGATTTTGTATTCAGCAATACAAACAACCAGGCAGAGATTTTTAGGGCTCTGAAATCAAATGTTAGATAATAAATTTAGACTAACATGAACTGTAGTAAACGAGTAACCTGCCTCGTTGCAGCGGAAGCTTTAGGATCGCCTGAATATCCACAGCCATAGTTGTTGGTATTGTTTCTGGGATGGTAAGTGAATTAAACTAGTGTCTGATATTTATTCTGCGTAAACATACAAGAGTATTTATAACTAGTCTAAGCACCACAATAGGTGGAGCAGAACAAGATAAGCTGAGGACTCTAACAACTCTAAACAACTTTAACCAATAAATATTTAATTCAAAATATGTGCACCAATACTCCCCCTCAAGCAGGCGGGGGGCAGGAAACCACGCCTAGCTTGCACCGTAAGTCACCAAAACGAGCAGCGGAAAGTGGCTTGGTGAATATGTCAGCAAGCTGGTCGTGTGTTGAGACGAAGTTAACCTTGAGCGCACCCTTGGACACCTTGTCCCGAACAAAATGATAATCGACTTCTACGTGCTTCGTCCGTGCATGGAACACCGGATTTGAGCACAAGTAGGTGGCGCCGAGGTTATCACACCATAGGACGGGAACTGTTTTCGGTAACAACCCAAGCTCACTTAATAGAGATTGAATCCACGTGACCTCGGCCGCAACGTCAGCTAGGGCTTTGTATTCAGCTTCGGTTGAGGAGCGAGCCACTGTTCGCTGCTTCCTAGAGACCCAAGACAGTAAATTAGGACCCAAGAACACAGCATACCCCCCAGTTGATCGCCTGTCAATGGAGCAGCCAACCCAGTCCGAGTCGGAGAAGGCATGCAGAACTGGTGTAGCCGAGGGGGCAAGACGAAGACCAAGGTCCAGAGTACCCTGGATGTAACGCAGGACTCGCTTGAGCGCGACCCAATTTTCTTGGGTCGGTGCATGCATGAATTGACAAAGCCTGTTAACAGCATAAGCCAAATCTGGACGAGTAATCAACAAATACATTATCGAACCCACAAGTTGTCGATATGGTGTCGGATCATCAAGTGCAGCTGAAGGCAAGGACGTGTGTTGAGCAGCCACAGCAATGGGTGTGGCCAGGGGTTTACACGACTCCATACCCGCCTTTCGTAGAAGCTCAGTCATGTAGCGCTTTTGAGATAGCACTAGACTGCCGGCCTTATCAATAGCTTCAATCCCCAGAAAGAACCTTGGTTTGCCAAGGTCATGAATGCGAAACACATCTGAAAGTTTCGCTAGCACATCCTGTATCATATTTGGATCATTCCCCATTAGGAGAATATCGTCCACATACACCAGCAAATAAGCACGAGTATTTCCTGAACCATAAATAAACAAAGAGACGTCCGTTTTGGACGGGGAGAAACCAATCTGAAGTAGGTAGTCATGGAGTCTTGTGAACCAGGCCCGTGGGGCCTGTTTTAAGCCGTACAACGACCGTTGCAGCTTACACACATGATCCGGGTAGTTTGGATTCACGAACCCGGGCGGTTGCTTCATGTATATATCTTCAGTCACATAGCCATTTAAAAAGGCGTTGTGGACATCAAGTTGACGCATAGTCCACTGATTGGAAACAGCATAAGACAACAAGATTCTGACGGTTGTCGGCTTCACTACCGGACTGTATGTTTCCATGTAGTCCTGTCCGGATATTTGATTGAACCCTTTAGCTACCAAGCGGGCTTTATAACGCTCGATGGTGCCATTAGAGTTCCTTTTGATGCGAAAAACCCATTTACTTCCTATTACATTCATGCCGGAGTGATACGGAACTAAATTCCAAGTGTGATTGTTAATTAAAGCATTAAATTCCACGGACATGGCATCACGCCATTGTGGTAACCGAGCATTAAGGTCGGCCGTCGAACGGATCGAGCATTAAGGGTCGGCATGTGCATGACTAAAAGTAAAAAAACAGAAAGAAAGACGAACAATATAAGTTTGGCAAAACAAGTTTCATTGATTGAAAAAAGAGTGCCCGGTACAAATTCGGGACCGGGCTCCCGATCAGTGTTTCTACAAAAAGAAGAAGCCTATTCTACTTCTTCAATTCCCGAGCTTCGGCAGCTGCCTCCTTCCCGCTCGAAGTGGCCGCCGATGATGCCCCAGGCTCGCCCGCCTTTTCCTTGGGAGCGAAGGGGGAGGGGCCGGGGTCGGCTAGGTCCGGGGGTAAAGCCGACAGGACCAGCTGAAGATCCTCCCCGTCGAGAGCTTGCTCCAACCGGGTACGGGCCCGCTCCAGCATTTTGCGCTGCCCGGACTTGAACGCCCATCGGCCGAAGGAGACGATCAGGTCCTCTCCGACCTTAGTTCCCCGGGCCGCCGTGAGAAACGCTGAGCCCGACTCGCTGTCCTTGAAGACAGTCTGCACCAGCTCGCTCGGGTTATCGAGCCGGGCCTTCAGCTCTTTCGCCTCCCCGATCGCCCGTTGGGCGACTTTCTCGGCGAGGGCCCGGTCTTCCTCTCTCTTTTTCAGGCCCTTCTGGGCCTTCTCCAGCTCGGCCTGGATGTCCTTGATTTCCTTCAAGCGACGAGCGGCCGTTTTCTTGTGGTGGTCGGCTTCTTCGGCCAGCATGGCCCGACCTTGAAGGAGTTGGGCCGCTCGGGAAATCTGCAGTACAAGAAGATGTTCGGCGTTAGCCCGGTCGAAAACACTTGCACATAAAAGAGAATTAATGGAAGAGAGCTTACCTCGGCCAGATCGTAGCCAATCTTCTCGGCCACTTGGGTCGGGGTCATCTTCCCCAAATCCTCCTTAGCTGGCCCGGCGTTGCCGATCCGGGCCAGTATGGACGTAGCGGTCCCTTCTCGCCCGACCGAAGGGCTCGGGCTGCGTTGTTCGCGGCGGCGTTTCATGCCGCCCACCTCGGTCACGCCTCGGTCGGGGACCTTCTCCTTGCCCCGGGTGATCAGGACGTCGGAGGGCTCGACGATAAAGCCCTCGCCCGTCGTCACGGTCGAGGTACTTAGTGGGCGGGCCATCGGGATCTCCTTTTCCCCGGCTGGCTTCGCCTTCGCCTTCTTCTTGCCGCCAAGGGAGATCTTGGCGGGCGGGGGAAGGGGGGCATCTTCGTCTCCGAACTCCATGGCTGCAAACAAAGAAGAAAGTTAGTCAATTCGGGACGATAAAGAATGTACGCACAGAATGCTAAGGATCGGGAAAGAAGTTAGCTTCAAGCTTTTACCCTTCCTCTTGCCCCGAGCGGGCATCCGTGCGATCGTTACACCTGCCGGCTCGGGCTTGTACTTCTCGCTCTGGTCGTAGACCGGATCGGGGAGCCGGGCCGCCTCGTAGCACTCGGGCGATTTGAAGATGCGGTATTCGTAGATCTCGCCCGAGATCTTGGTCACGGCATCGATGAGGGTCGGGGTCTCGACCGGCGTGACTTGTTTTCGAAAACGCTGACTCCAAACCCTCTCGACCGGGAGGATCCACGGATCGTATTTTACGGAGAAGATCCGGTTCTTCCACCCCCGGTTGTTCCCGGGCAGCCCTTCGATCGAGCATCTATCCGCTCGGGATTGTATCATCAGAAAACCTCCCCCGTACGCGGCCGCTAGCACCTTCACTTGGTAGGCGAAGTTGAAGAGTTCCATGGTGCAGGCCACGTCGTGTCGACGGTAGATCTGGGGGAAGCACGCGATTATTCGGTACGCGTTCGGGAAAATCTGCCCGGGCATAACTTGGTAGTAGCCCAAGAATGCTGTAAGAAGGCTGGAAAAGGGGAATGTGATCGGGGCCATTAGCGAATCGTAATGCAGCCCGATCCATTTCCCTTGGTGCCGCTCGATGATATTCCCGAGCTGTCTGCTGGTATCGAATTCGACCCGACCAGCAAGAGTTGCCGCGATTTTGCTTGCTTCTCCTTTTGTCAGCAAGCTCTTCTGGCCTTCAACGCTCTCGCTATTGAGGAACGCAAACCCGTCCCCGCCCGTCGGCGCCGGCCCGGTCGGGTCCTCTTCGTCCCCTTCGGCCTCGTTGGCCCGGTCTCCGCCCTCGTGCTCGGCTCGAGGGTAATCCCCTATTACCCTCGTGGGCGTTTCCCTAGCGCCTTCGTCCGAGAGTGTCCGTCCGCTCGTGGACGTTTCTTCGCTCCCCGACCCGCTGGAGCTCGACCCCGAGGTCCCTGACGAGCTTGATGACCCTGCTGGCTCGGGGGCTTGGTCGGGAGTGGGCTGTGGTCGTCGTTCGACCTCTGGGGAGTAGGACATGATGTCCACCTCCTCGCTGAGGTACTCGACCTCCTCGTCATAGTCCGCGATCGAGGCGTTCTGGCTGTCAGAATCCGTCATTTCGATCTACCTAAAGGTCGGTCGGGGTTAGTAAGGGACTTGAGACGTCCGGGACAGTTAGTTGGCCTATCAGTTCTACTTATAAATGAAAGTGTAAAGTAAAGGGAGGGGTTGAGAATTTACCGAATGGAGGAACTTTGCGGTTGAAACCTTGAAGTTTCCTTGCTCGACTGCCTTGTTAAGGTGCTCTGCTCGGGACTCTCTGAGGGTACCGACTGCTTCAGTGGATTGAGGAAAGTTCAAATGGAGGCCTCAAGGGCCTATTTATAGGAAAGCATTTAGGCGGGAAACCAATCCACTTGCGTGACACGACCCGCACTGATTCCGAGGCCAGCAGTGGCCGACACGTGGCGAGGAGGGGAATGACAGCTGGCCGGTCGGTTTAGTGGCCGACGGTTGGACTTCTTCATCCCGGCCCATTTTTTCCCGAACGATCAAAAAGGCCCGGGCTGGGGGGCTCTTGGTAGGGAATATCCCGACCGACATAGCTCCACCACGACCGAGAAGCCTTTGTCTTTTTCTCTTTGTCTTTGCAGGTAACAGGTCGGGCTTCGTGTGAAGAACCCGGTCGGGGGCCGACCGGGAGTTGCCCGAGCGACGGTGTCGACCGCCGAGCGGTAGCCCTTTGGCGAGAGAGCTGACGAAAGACACGTGGCGACTCTCTACGACGACAGACAGGGCACCCGGGAGGATGACACGTGGTGGCTACGTGGAGAACATGCCGAACGACTGGAATCCTGTCCCCGGCATAGCGGCTATAAATACCCCCAGTAGCTACAGTGTAGTGGACTTTTGGACGATCGATAGGTTGTTGTTAGAGAATCCCGACCGCAGTCAGTCGGTACTCAGGGCAACCAAGTAGATTGTACTTAGGGCCTCTACCGTGATCAATAAAGACGTTTACTTGCTTTAATTGGTCTCGAGTTATTTCATATTGCTTACGTATAATTAGCAGTATCATTTTGGCGCCGTCTGTGGGGGACCGTGCAAGAAACCAACGTCTTGACGAGCACCCGGTCTCTATATCAACATGTATCCGTGGGCACACAACAACTTTGCCGACGACCAGGCGGATGCGGCGAGCTCCTCCGACCACTATGCTACCCAACAGCAGGGTCAGACGATGGACCTCAACCTCAACCTCTCACCACCGCATCCATCAAATGCATACCTGGCCGCCCAACAGCCGGTGAATTACATACAACCGGGATACCCAACACCCGGTCTGCCATACTTGCAGCAGCCGATGATGTACCCCGCCCAGTATCCGTACCCGGTCCCACCTCCGCCGTATGGGTATTGGCCAGGCCAACCGATGTGCTACACTCCCCCGGTTGGTTATCCACCATATACGCCTGCTTATACAGCTCCAGCCGCCGCCCCTCCAGTACAACCGACCGCACAGGTAGAGCCGCAGCGTCAGTCCGCATCCCGGGCTCGACGCTCGGCTCATTCGCGGTTGGGGTCGGGGGGTGCTGATGCGATGGAGGCACCAGCTCAGGCCGTCCAAGCGGAGGACCCTGAAGAAGTTGCCCGAGCGGTAGCTTTTGATCGTCTTCAACCGGAGATGCGCCAGCGTTTGGGACCCCAAGACCCGAACCGCGGGCAAGAAGACGTACAGATGCAGGAGGCTAGTCAGGAGGCTTCATCTGGGTATAGCAGGTCGAGATCTCACCGACGGCGACGCGCTCGGGATACAGCCCAAGCCGCTCAAGCCGCCGAGCTCAACGAAACCCGAGGATTACTCTATAACCTCCAGGCGGAAGTTGCGCAGCTCAGGAATGCGTACCCTGCAACACCCCCGGTCAACCAATCGACCCTGCACCAGACGCCTTTCACAGCAGCGGTAATGGCCCAGCCTTACCCGCTCGATTTAAAGGTCTCTGGAGAGAAGAGTTATGACGGACGGGCAGATCCTGAGGCCCATGTGAATGATTTTTTCAGCAACATGATGCTGAAGGGCGTTTCAGACGCCGTGATGTGCAGGGCCTTCTACTCGACCCTCACCGGTCGGGCGGCAGAGTGGTTCCGTACCCTACAACCGGGGTCGATCGATAAATTTGAGACCCTGGCGATCAAATTTGTGAGGAAGTTCATCACTTCCAAAGTGGTGAGGAAGTCCTACATGTATCTCGAGAAGGCCAAGCAGCTAGAAGGGGAAAGCTTGACCGATTTCCTCATCAAATGGAAAGCAGCGGTCGGGGAGGTCGAGCCTATGGACGATGCGACCGCCACCCACATGCTTCACATATCTCTCCGGGCGGGACATTTGTATCAGGACTTCATCCTACACCCCCCGACCAGTTACGAGGAGGCCCTTCGGAGGGTCACAGATTATGCCAACGCCGGCGAGGCGAACGCCGTAAAGCGCTTGCAGGAGGTCGGCTCTTCGTCCCGTAAACCGGCCGGCCGGGCGGAACATCGGTCGGGAGATGACAATCCCCGATCCCGCACCAGGCCTGGCGAGTTTACGGCCTTGAACCGATCCGCAGCGGAGGCCATGCAGTACGCCCAGTCCTGCAATCTCATCAAACTCCCCCATCCCGATCGAGACGGCCCTGACAAGAGTAAGCACTGCGCTTACCATCGATGTGCCGGGCATGACACCGAGGAGTGTACCCACTTACGCCAATTGTTGGAAGATCTGCTTAACAGGGGAAAATTTGACAAGTGTGTGGGGAAGAGAGAGGACAACAAGAGGAACACCGAGCGGAGGGATCATAGACGTTCCCATCACCGCTCTGATCGATCAGGGCAAGACAGAAGGGACGATCGAAGGGACGATCGTCATGATGACCGACGGGACCCCGACCCTCCGTCTGGTAGCCGCCCGTCCGGAAAGCCCACCATCCATGTCATTTTTGGTGGACTGGAAGATGCTTCCCGACCGCGGACTAATTGCCCGGTCGCAATAGTGGATTCCCGGGAGACCGGGAAGAGGCAGAAGATGGAGCCCATAACCTTCACCCTCGAGGACCAACCTACCAGCAGCGACCACGGCATGGAGGCGCTCGTGGTCACGATTGACGTTAAGGGGACGGACGTCCAAAGGGTTATGGTGGATACGGGCAGCAGCGTGAACGTCCTTTACTTGGACGTCTTCGAGAAGCTTGGCCTCGACAGGAAGGAGCTGACTCCGGTCGGTGTACCACTGTCAGGATTTACCGGGGCTCTTATTTACCCCGAGGGAAAGATAACGCTCCCGGTCGAGATCGGCGCGCCTCCAAAGTCGATCAAGACGGAGCTGGAATTTGTTGTGGTCAACCTCCATTGCGTCCACAACATTATCTTGGGCCGACCCGCCATTATGAAGATCGGTGGGATAATTTCTATGCCCCACCTGTGTATGAAATTCCCCACCCCTAACGGGGTCGGCGTGGTCCGTGGCGATATCCAATCCGCCCGGAAGTGTTACACCCGAGCGGTCAATAGACGTGACTCCGGTCCATCTTCCCGGGTGAACACCATAGCCAAAGAGGAGGCTAAGGAACGGAAGGAGCAGCCTGAGCCTTCCGAGGAAATAGAAGAAGTTCCCCTATCTGAGGATCGCCCGGATAGGAAGATCAAGATTGGCCGAGCCCTCACCCCCGAGCTTCGAGCGGAAGTTTTGGCCATACTCCGGGAGTATGCTGATATCTTTGCGTGGGGGCCCGAAGACATGCCCGGAATCGATCGGTCGGTCATCTGTCACAAGTTAGCCGTCGATCCCGCAGCAAAGCCGGTCGTGCAGAAGACACGACACCTTTCCTCCGATCGCCGCGAGTTTGTCAGAGAAGAAGTCAAAAAGATGGCGGCGATCGAGCACATCCGTCCGGTGGTCTATCCCGAGTGGGTGGCAAATATCGTTCTTGTTCCTAAGCCCCCAGCATGGAGGATGTGCATCGATTTTACGGACCTCAACAAGGCCTGTCCGCTCGACCCGTATCCTCTACCGAGCATTCACCAGATGGTCGACGAAACGGCCGGGGCCGAATTAATGAGCTTCATGGATGCCTTCAAGGGGTACCATCAGATCATGATGCACCATGAAGACGAGAGCAAGACAGCCTTCGTGACCCCGGATGGGCTGTACTGTTACCGAGTGATGCCGTTCGGCCTCCGGAACGCAGGAGCGACCTACCAGAGGATGGTCAACATGCTCTTTGCCGATTTACTGGGCCGAACGATGGAAGCTTACATCGATGACATGCTGGTCAAGAGTCGGGACCGATCCGACCACACTCGGGACCTCCGGGAGTGCTTCCAGATCATGAGGAAGTACCAGTTGCGGCTGAACCCGACCAAGTGCACATTCGCGGTTCAGACCGGCAAGTTCCTCGGCTATATGATGACCAAGAGAGGAATCGAGCCTAACCCGGCCAAAGTAAAAGCGATTCTGGACATGCAACCACCTTCCACCGTTCGGGAAGTCCAGCAATTGACCGGTCGGTTGGCAGCCCTCAGCCGGTTCCTCTCCAAGCTAGCCGAGCGCGCTTTACCTTTCTTCAAGGTATTGCGGAAGGTTAATGGATTCGTCTGGGACGAAGAGTGTCGAGCGGCTTTTGATGAGCTGAAGGAATATCTCATGTCACCGATCGTGTTCTCAAAGCCCGAGCTCGGAGAAGAGCTAGACGTGTACCTCGCCGTCTCCGATCGTGCAGTAAGCGCAGTGTTGTGCCGAACCGATCCGGAAGGGGTCCAGCGACCGGTGTACTATGTAAGCCACGCGCTACATGGTCCCGAGCTCCGGTACTCCCGGCTAGAGAAGGTCGTCTATGCCTTATACGTTGCCGCGAAGAAGTTGGCTCCCTACTTCCAAGGTCGAGCAATTCGCGTGTTGACCGATCAGCCGATCGGGCCAGTCCTCCGAACTGCTTCATCATCCGGTCGCCTCGTCAAGTGGGCATTAATGTTGACCCAATACGCGATCGAATACCGACCGAGACCGGCTATTAAAGGTCAAGCTCTTGCGGACTTCTTGGTCGAGTGCACCGCCCGGGATACCCGGCCTCCTGAGGTTGCGGATCCCGAGGCTGAGTGGTGGTCGCTGGCTACAGATGGGTCAAGTAGCAAGAAAGGGGCAGGAGGAGGAGTGGTGGTCACAAGCCCGGAAGGATTCAAGGTCTATTTTGCTCTCATGTACCAGTTCCACCCGACCAACAACGAAGCCCAGTACGAAGCGTTCATTAACGGCTTACAGTGCGCTCGGGACTTGGGGGCTGAATACATTCGAGCTCAGACAGATTCCGCGCTCGTGGTCGGGCAAGTTCTCGGGGATTATGAAGTCAATGGAGAGCGTCTGCAGCTTTACCGAGATCTTGCCATGGAGAAGCTTGCTCAGTTCCGGGGGTATACCGTCCGACACATACCCCGATTGGATAATGCCGACGCAGATATTTTATCTAAATTGGCTCAAGATGCCCCGGAACACATGTCGAAGATAGCTCGAATTTTGGTGGTCCCGAGACACAGCATTCATCGTCTACCGGTCAATCCAATCCAACCGGTAGGAGACAATTGGATCACCGATCTGAAGGAGTACCTCGAGCACGGTCGACTCCCAGACGACCCCCAGCGTGCTCGAAAAGCCAAGCTGAGAGCCCCAAGGTTCCAAGTCTTGGACGGTCGTCTATATCGGCGATCGTATGGAGGCCCCCTCATGCGTTGCTTGACCGCGTTTGAGGCAGATTTAGTCATGAAGGAGCTTCACTCGGGAATTTGTTCTTCGCACCAAGGAGGCCGATCGCTTGCCCGTCGTATCATGCTAATCGGGTACTATTGGCCGTCCCTCCAGCTAGACTGTGAAAAGTTAGCTCGGGAATGTGAGACGTGCCAACTGTACGCCCGGATGCCTGGACGACCGGCAACCTTCTATCAGCCAGTCACGACCGCAATTCCTTTCGCTAGGTGGGGGGTAGACATCTTGGGCCCCTTCCCTCAGCTCTCTGGTCGGAGAAAGTTCGTGATTGTCGCCATTGATTACTTCTCCAAGTGGATAGAAGCCGAGCCCTTAGCCACGATTACCTCTCAGCAATGTGCTCGTTTTCTTTGGCGCAATGTGGTTTCCCGCTTTGGCGTGCCCGTGCATCTCATCAGCGACAACGGTCGCCAATTCGTAAGCCAATATTTCCAGAGTTTCTTGGCCACGATCGGGACAACTCACGTTCGGTCGTCGGTGGCTTACCCTCAGGGAAACGGTCAAGTGGAGAACGCGAACCGGACGATTTTGGAAGGTCTGAAAAAGAAGTTACACTCAGCTGGTCGTAGTTGGGCCGATGAGTTGCCATATGTCTTATGGACTTATCGGACGACCCCGAGGGAAGCTACTTTGGAGACCCCTTTCGCCCTGGTTTATGGAGCTGAAGCCCGACTCCCGATCGAGGCTTGGATCCCGACTGATCGAGAGAGAACCTACAATGCGGAGGAGAATGAGCATGCGATGGCCGTAGACCTCGATGCGGTCGAAGAAAAAAGAGAGCTAGCCGCTCGGCGCATGGCCGAGTATCAGAAGCGAGTTAAGAGTTCTAAAGATGTTCGGGTCAACCCTCGATTTTTTCAGGTTGGAGATTATGTTCTACGACGAAGGGAGGCCAGTCAACCTTTAGAGGGCGGAAAATTAGTTCAAAATTGGGAAGGGCCGTACATCATCAGTGCGATCATACGGCCGGGTACGTATCGGCTGGAGACGACAGCTGGTCGGGTAATCGAGGGGACTTGGAATTCCGAGCACCTCGTTATGTTTAGGCATTAAGCCTATTTTTTGTAACTTTTGACGAAGTGGGGGCTTGACCTGCGAGTAGGTCCCGGTCGTCGGTTGTAATTAAGCTTTATGATTGTAAATACTTGTTTAACCGCCTGCGAGCGGGAAGGTTTTAATGTATATACGATCGGTGATTGTTCGACTGCTTGCATGCGGCGGCCCGGTCGGTTATTTTCTTTACCTTCAGTGCACGCAGATCAATTTAACTTCAAGCTACACCGACCGGGCGAATTTATCGACCGGTCAAACGCGCTCCACATCGGCGGACATTCGAGTCACGCCACCGGTCGGGGAAGTCAGGAGCATATAGCATAATTCCCCGATCTGATCGCTTCTTGTCCACTATTGCACTCACTCGTGCCATGAGAGCACAATAGTGTGGGGGCTGGGATGAAGGAAGTATTTACAGGCCCGTCGTTCGGAAGTATCCCGACCATAGAGGCTTGAAAGTATTTACAGGCCCGTCGCTCGGAAGTATCCCGACCGTAGAGGCTTGGAAGTATTTTGACAAGGCCTGGAGACCGGGTAAACCCGATCAGGTTGGCTAGTTTGATGTCGAAATCTCGGATGCACGACCGGGCCATAAAGCCCTAAGGTCGGCCGTCGAACGGATCGAGCATTAAGGGTCGGCATGTGCATGACTAAAAGTAAAAAAGCAGAAAGAAAGACGAACAATATAAGTTTGGCAAAACAAGTTTCATTGATTGAAAAAAGAGTGCCCGGTACAAATTCGGGACCGGGCTCCCGATCAATGTTTCTACAAAAAGAAGAAGCCTATTCTACTTCTTCAATTCCTGAGCTTCGGCAGCTGCCTCCTTCCCGCTCGAAGTGGCCGCCGATGATGCCCCAGGCTCGCCCGCCTTTTCCTTGGGAGCGAAGGGGGAGGGGCCGGGGTCGGCTAGGTCCGGGGGTAAAGCCGACAGGACCAGCTGAAGATCCTCCCCGTCGAGAGCTTGCTCCAACCGGGTACGGGCCCGCTCCAGCATTTTGCGCTGCCCGGACTTGAACGCCCATCGGCCGAAGGAGACGATCAGGTCCTCTCCGACCTTAGTTCCCCGGGCCGCCGTGAGAAACGCTGAGCCCGACTCGCTGTCCTTGAAGACAGTCTGCACCAGCTCGCTCGGGTTATCGAGCCGGGCCTTCAGCTCTTTCGCCTCCCCGATCGCCCGTTGGGCGACTTTCTCGGCGAGGGCCCGGTCTTCCTCTCTCTTTTTCAGGCCCTTCTGGGCCTTCTCCAGCTCGGCCTGGATGTCCTTGATTTCCTTCAAGCGACGAGCGGCCGTTTTCTTGTGGTGGTCGGCTTCTTCGGCCAGCATGGCCCGACCTTGAAGGAGTTGGGCCGCTCGGGAAATCTGCAGTACAAGAAGATGTTCGGCGTTAGCCCGGTCGAAAACACTTGCACATAAAAGAGAATTAATGGAAGAGAGCTTACCTCGGCCAGATCGTAGCCAATCTTCTCGGCCACTTGGGTCGGGGTCATCTTCCCCAAATCCTCCTTAGCTGGCCCGGCGTTGCCGATCCGGGCCAGTATGGACGTAGCGGTCCCTTCTCGCCCGACCGAAGGGCTCGGGCTGCGTTGTTCGCGGCGGCGTTTCATGCCGCCCACCTCGGTCACGCCTCGGTCGGGGACCTTCTCCTTGCCCCGGGTGATCAGGACGTCGGAGGGCTTGACGATAAAGCCCTCGCCCGTCGTCACGGTCGAGGTACTTAGTGGGCGGGCCGTCGGGATCTCCTTTTCCCCGGCTGGCTTCGCCTTCGCCTTCTTCTTGCCGCCAAGGGAGATCTTGGCGGGCGGGGGAAGGGGGGCATCTTCGTCTCCGAACTCCATGGCTGCAAACAAAGAAGAAAGTTAGTCAATTCGGGACGATAAAGAATGTACGCACAGAATGCTAAGGATCGGGAAAGAAGTTAGCTTCAAGCTTTTACCCTTCCTCTTGCCCCGAGCGGGCATCCGTGCGATTGTTACACCTGCCGGCTCGGGCTTGTACTTCTCGCTCTGGTCGTAGACCGAATCGGGGAGCCGGGCCGCCTCGTAGCACTCGGGCGATTTGAAGATGCGGTATTCGTAGATCTCGCCCGAGATCTTGGTCACGGCATCGA